ATAGATGGAGAGATTCTCTATTTGTATCTGGGAATTTCAGATGAAGCTATTAGCTCGATCTTGGTGAGAGAGGAAGCCAAACAATAGAAGCCAATCTATTACATCAGCAGTGTGCTGCATGGTGTAGAACTGAGGTATCCCATCGCTGAGAAAGCATCTTTAACAGTTGTCACTTCGGCCAGAAAGTTGAAGCCATATTTCTAGTCACACCCGATCATTGTCCTCATAGACCAACCTCTTCGACAGATTCTGCAAAAGCCAGAGTTTTTTGGAAGATTAATTAAATGCGCAGTAGAACTGGGAGAATTCGAGATAACATTTCAGCAGAGATTGGCAATTCGAGCTCAGGCGCTGGTAGATTTTATTGTAGAATGCACTCCATGTCATGAAATCTCCAGTCCGGAGCCCAATGACTGGACCTTTTATGTTGATGGGGCATCTAGTAGCAAAGGTTCAGGAGCTGGCGCTCTCTTGCTTGGCCCAGATGGATACCGAAGTGAACACGCCCTGAAATTCAACTTCGATGCAACAAATAACATGGTTGAGTATGAAGCTCTCCTACTTGATCTACAATTAGCATTGGAGTTGAAAATCAGCGCAATCCAAGTGTATAGTGACTCTCAGCTGGTGGTGAATCAAATCAACTCAATCTGTGAAGTCGTCGATCCTGTGATGGTGAAATATGTAACTCTAGTGGCCGAGCTGAAGTGCAAATTTCAGAAGTTTTGTCTGAGCAAAATTCCCCGAGCTGAGAATGAACAAGTAGATTCACTTTCTAAATTTGCCTCAAATAGCTCTTTACGTTCTAGATCAGTTTTTGTGGAGGTCTTAGATGCACCAAGCTTCATGAAGCCGCGGGTGATGGAGATCAGTACAGACTCAGACACGCCAAGCTAGACTCACTCAATTATCTCCTTTTTACGAGACGGGGTAATACCTGAGGATAAGCAGGAGGCAATGAAGTTGAGGAAGAAAGCATCTTGGTATACACTTGTTGATGGGGTCCTTTATAAGAGATCTTTCTCACTCTCTCTTCTACGGTGCTTGAACCCCTATAAAGCAGAATACGCACTCAGGGAGGTGCATAAAGGTGTCTGCGGGAGTCACGTAGGTGCTCGAACTTTAGCTCATAAAGTCCTTAGACAGGGTTATTATTGGCCCAACATGTACAAGGATGCCACTCAGTTCGTACAGAGGTGTCAAAAATGTCAATTCTTCGCACAGCTAATCCACCAGCCTGCAGAAGAACTCATTACTCTGATAGCACCTTAGCCATTTGCTCAGTGGGGTCTTGACCTTTTAGGTCTATTTATGAAAGGGGTAGGAGGTGTAACCCATCTCATCGTCGGTGTGGATTATTTCACAAAATGGGTTAAAGCTTGGGCATTATCCAGTCTTACCTCCAGGAAAGTCGAGGACTTTGTTTTCAGCTCGATTAGTTGCAGATATGGGATCCCGAATCAGATTGTAGCTGATAATGGAACTCAATTCAATTGCTCCTCATTCCGAGATTTCTGTTCCAGCCCTGGGATCAAACTACAGTTCACCTTGGTTTACCATCCGGAGCCCAATGGCATGGTCGAATCTGTTAACAAATGCATATTAGAAGGTATAAAACTGAGATTGGAATAGCACAAGGCCAAATGGGCAGACGAGCTCAACAACGTACTCTGGGCATATAAAACCACGAGTCGAACAGCTACAGGTATTACTTTAAACCTGGTCTATTTGATCAACTTTATATTGTTTTTCTCTTTCTGCTACGGCTTTACCTTAGAGCAAATATACATAACGCGTAAAGCGCATTCTAAAGTTATAATTAATTGAAATAGGTGAAACACCCTATCATCTGGCCTTTGGTACCGAAGCAGTCATTCGAGATAGGAGTCCCAACCTTCAGGGTCACCCATTTCGATGAAGGACGAAATGGACAACTGCTTCGGGAGAACCTTGATCTACTTGATGAAGTCAGAGAAGAAGCACGACTTCGAACTCTAGTCTACAAGCAGAAAATAGCAAACTTCTACAACAAACAAGTTCTACCCCGAACATTCAAAGTAAGAGACCTTGTTCTCAGGAAAGCTGGTCTAACGGGATTCGAAACTCGATTTGGAAAGTTAGCACCAAACTGGGAAGGCCCCTACATTATCGCCGAAGTGCCCCACCCAGGTGTTTATATCCTACAGGACTCTGAGGACAAAAGGGTTCCTAGAGTCTGGAATGCCAATAACTTGAAGAAATTTTACCCTTAATACACTTCTTTCTAATGAACTTTGTCTTATTTCTATAATCGCCATTATTCTGATTACTATATATCGAAACCCAATTCATTTACATCATTAATGAACTTTACTTCACATTCGAAGTCATTCAGTCCTTTCATTGTAACTTATTCAGTCACTTCATTTGTTGGGTTATGATTTTATGACACTTACTTCTGCAGTGACTTACTTTATCTTTTGTCATTTCTATATTCAAAGTCCGCCTCATATATATCCGAGGTTAATTCCTTTGTTGTTCATTTTATTGTGTTCGAAGTCAGAACCTTGTCTTAAATAAAGTTACTTTATCCTAAGTCATTCACTTAAAATAAACTAGCAATTCGAAACCAAAGCTGAACACTAAGAATAAACTTCAAAAATTTTATAAATAAAACCTTAATTACAAAAAAGTTATTTACAGATATAACTACAAATATAAAAACCTAAGCTACTCTGCTAGAGGAGGAGGCTGTTCCTCAACAGGAAGAGGGGGTTGAATCGGCTCATCTCCAGCAGGCAGGGGTGGCACTTCTGCTTTAGGAGGAGCCAGCTGCTGCACTTCGTCAGAAGAGACTGGATGCACCTCAGGAGGCTGCACTACGGCCAGAGCTGCCTGATCCTCAACTCCAACGCCTTGCGCTTCTTCTTCTTCCTCTCCTTCTTCCTCCACTGCCACCAGCTCAGCATCAAAGGCTGGAGGAAAGATAGTGCGTCCCTCTACGTCATGCTCCCACCTCAACTTGATCAGAGGTCGGAAGTCAGCAGAAAGACTCTCACCATCCTCCTCCATTCCTTCTTCTTGTTCCCCAAAGGTGACCATTGTCACGTCCACCTCTGCGTACTGGGCCTTCACCTTCTTTCTACAGTCGGTGAAGGCCACGATTGCGGTTGGTAGCCGGTACAGCTTGAGGATGTTCTCGAAGGTGCTGGAGTTGAGGAAGTTGCCAATGTGCTCCTCCATCCCGTTGTGAACCAACAGATTCAAGTTCTTCTTCAGCTTTACCGCTCCTTTCCTCATGTTGTCAATATATTTGTCTTGAAGTTCGAGCTTCTCCTCATAGATCTTCCTCTTGCGTTCTTCAAGGACAAGTTTCGTGCTCAAGACATCATTGTCGTTCTGGAGCTCGGTCACTGAAGGAAGAACTTCATCCAGCCTCCTCTGCATCTCCTTCTTCTCTTTCTCCCACTCTTCCTTCTCCTTCTACAACTCTTCCCTCTCCTTCTGCAGCTCTTCCCTCTCCTTCTGCAACTGCTCACACTGCCTCTACAAGCTGGCACGATCCCTCACGCTCTCCACGTACTCCTGCGCTAGAGTGTTTGTCCAGCTTGCACTCTGCAAGGCAAGCAGAAGTCAGACCTCAAACACAGAAGTCAAAAAAAAAGAAAAAAAGAAAAAAAGAAAGAAAGAATAAAGCAGGAATAAGCTACAACTCCTTTACATACCTCCAGAGCATGCCTCACAACTGTAGCCCTTAGTTGGCTCACCACCTGGTCCCTTGCCTGCCTCTTATCAACCTCAAGGAGAGTGGCGTTGAGGAAGCGTTTCGCCCCAGTAGTGTTTGTTGCTTCGAACAAACTCTTCTGGAATGAAGGTTAAGGGAAGGGCCCCTTGCCTTTGCCAGGACTTCATGCCACGGCCTCTTCCCTCTCCCCGACTTCAGGATCAATTTCTGGAGGAGAAGGCCGGGGCACGAACTCCACCACCTCATCCTCCCTGGCTTCTTGCTCTGCCACCTTCCTCTTTTTCCTTTGGAGCGACGCCACCTCCTCGCTCGCATCCTCACTGCCCCCCATCACAGGCTCTGGCCTTAGCTGCACCTCCAACGCCCGAGCAGAAGTGCTGGACAGCCGCTCCCTTTCTGCCACCCCCTTCTTTATCGTAGTTGAAGTCTTTGACTTTTTCCTTGGCTTCTTTGGGATGCGCAGCCCCCGAGCAACATTTATAAACTCGTCCATCTCAGCTGCAAAACAAACATACATGTCAAAGCACACCAACTAAAATCTAACCAAAATGGCACAATATAAACATACATAAACCTTCGCTCAATGAGCTCGGCCCATAGAGCTCAGCAGCCCCTATTGCCTTCGGATTGGTGAGGTAAGATATCCACTATGTCTCCTTCCTCCCTCACCAGCTTTTCTACCTCCTCCACCTCATCCTCATTTAACTTATAGTTGTTCTGCTTGGTTTCTTAGCTTTCCAAGCAGACAACTGTTCCACTTCGGCATCCCTAATACTCCACTCGGTGTCATCCACAAAGAAGAATTTTTCTTTCCATCCTTTGATGGATGACGGTCCAGCAGAGAATAAACTCCTATTCTCTTTGTTGGACGACCGAGGACCGAAGTAATACCACCCCTTCTCCCCCTTACCCCCAGCCTTTATTATGAAAAAATGTTTGAACATGTTTACTGTAGAGACCCCAACCCCCTGAACTCGGCAGTATACAAGAAAACCTATTATTACCCTTATGGCATTTGGGGTTAGTTGGGTTATTTCTATACTATAATCTAATAGTAACCCAACCAGTAATTCTGGAATGGGAAACCTAAGCCTTGCAATCAAATAGTGGACGTATAGGGGCATCAAATGGTCTCGGGGTACTGAGCATGCCCTCTCATTCACCCCGATAGGCCTAATTAGGACATGGTGAGGGAGATTGCAGTTACCCACGAGACCCCTAAGACTATCCTTGCTACTTAACTCGCTCACATACCCCCTCAACTCAGATACTATCTCTAAATATAGGTCATAACACCCATCTACACCACTCCCAGCCTCCAAAATGTTTGAGGGCATCTCATCTTCCTCCTCCTCTACTAGCCTTTGCTCCCTCCTCTCCTCCACTGTCCTCTCCAAACTAGTTGGAGATGGACTGCTCTCCGAATCAATGCTCCCGTAATCTAGGGGCATCACCTCACTCCCCACTACACTCATGGTCCCTTCTGAAGACATCTCCTCAATTTCTACATAAAGTAGGAGGAGGAACAGAGTCAAGACCCTTAAAAATTCTCACACACTCAATACATTCTCACTCCCAACCCTAATTTCCTTCAAAAAACCCAAAATCAATCACAGAAAGAGAGAAAGGAGAATAGCACTTCGACATAATCAAAATCCAAAATTCATAACCATTACCTGATTTTGGTTTTGGGAAATTGTTCTTGAAGCCTCAAAGAGAGCGCAGACCGCACAAAACCGTAGAGATTTAGCAAGAATTTGGAAGCAAAATCGCGAAAGTAAAAACCCCTATTTACAAAAGTCTAGCCTTTTATACCAAAGGCAAAATATGCCTCAACGGCTGTGATTAACCCCATCTAACAGCTGCAGAGACACCGTTTCAAATTCGACGGTTAACCCCAAACGATACCGTTTTGAACTTGACTGTTCGTATTTCACATTTGCCCGTTGGGCTGTTACACTTATCTTTTTACAACGACATTTATTACGGGCAAAATACCCAAATCCACCCCCAAAGTATAGTGGTAGGGACGGATCCACCCTCGAACAAAAAACGGGGACAAATCCACCCACAAAATTTTCGACTTGGACAAATCACCCCAAATTTAACGTGTGACGTCATTTGACATCAGCAATCTGTTAATTTGACGTCATCTGACGTCAGCAATCCGTTAACGAATTAACGAATTGCTGATGTCAAATGACGTCACATGTTGAATTTGGGGTGATTTGTTCAAGTCGAAAACTTTGTGGGTGAATTTGTCCCCGTTTTTTGTTCGATGGTGGATCTGTCCCTACCACTATACTTTGGGGGTGGATTTGGGTATTCTGCCTTTATTACGCACGTTATTCAAAGGACAGTTGTCACGTCGCGTACTGCCGCTTTGTCAAACTTCTCAGACGAGCCCACTTAAGCCCATTTCAACACTCTTGCTCACTTTTATCCATTTTAAATTTTGCACAAGTGTTTTACTTCAGCAATCGACCTGATGTCTTCGGTCACATGTTTTACTTCGGCTACGGCTGCAGTGACCCAGTGTCACACGTTTTACTTCGGCTCCGGTCACAGTGACCAAGTGTCACACGTTTTACTTCGGCTCCGGCCGCAATGACCCAATGTCACACGTTTTATTTCGGCAACGGCCACAGTGACCCAGTGTCACACGTTTCACTACGGCTACCGCCCTAGTGCCCCGTCTCCCATATTTTACTTTGGCTCCGGCCACTATGACTTCGATCATTATTTTTATTACGGCTCCTGCCACTATTCCTTACTATGGCTCCGGCCACTATGGCTCCGGCCACTATGGCTCCGGCCACTATGACTCCAGCCACTATGACTCCGATCATTAATTTTTACTACTTGTTATTACTTTCTTACATTGACTCCGGTCATTCTTTTACCACGGCCACAGCCATGATCAATCCGATTACATTTTATCTTATTTTTGGACATGGCCAACATGACCCCCTATCACGTATTTCACTATTAGCTATGGCTATACATACATTTGCGGTACAAATTTTCATTTCCCTTTTTACTTCTGTAACTCATCTTCCATACTTGTATCTTCTTTCATTTCTATTTATGCAGTTCCCCCATTATCTCTAACACCATCATTCACAAGTAAATGACTTCGGGGGGGAATAGTGTAAGGACAGGTCCGAGGTGCCCAACCTCGAACAAATGACAGTAATTCCTTTATGACCAAAGTGAAGGATAAATCCAAAGATTCCCGCTCAAGTAGCTACATGGTTGCAACAGTAAGCATGCCCGCACCTGATCCTTTATGATGCGCCGCACAGCAGTTACGATGGACATCCTTGTATCTGAGTATCTTTCAAATTTTCGGTCCTGAAATAACCGTTTGGAGATACACATCAGATCCCGAATATCTTGCTTGGCATGCCACGTGGGTTCCTCATTGAAACCTATAAATACCCCCCAAGGGCCACGTCAAAAAGGTAATTGAAACCAACCCTAAGCCCCTCGTTTCTCCGCTCTAAAGGTAGCCCCGATTATTGCTGACTTAAGTATCGGAGTGTCTACCCCCGAAGATCCACCTTGGGACTTTGCAGGTTAATCCGGAGTGCAGATACGGACTGAAGAAGGACATCTGGTTTGGTGCAATTATAGAATTAATGCTCTAAAAAATCCAAATCCTCACCACACATGACAATAGTGCCATTGTTTTTGTGCTTATCACATATTTAATCAGCACATTATCTTAGGAAAAAAACTAAGACTTGGTTAAGGGTCAAAACAAAAGGAAAACCCAATCATTTCATAGATGAAAATCCACCAATAACAATCAGTTTTACATTTGGAATAATTAAGAAAGATTAATAAAATTAGAAGTCTTCTAAATTTATACACATGCACATGACTTCTAATTTTTTAGAGTTGAGATTGAGAATAATGAAAATTGTTTTTGTACTTATTTCATTTAAAAGGATTGGATAAAACTTCTTTTTTTTTTCAAATTCAATAAAATTTTAGAGGAATAACAATACAAATTGATTTGAAAAATGATAAATAGGGAATTTGATTATTAAATCAAAATTTAATTTTGATTACCTTAATAGATTTAATTACATAATTATATCCAATATAATTACTTATAATTTCTAATTCTATAAAAAGTAAAATAAAAGATATATGTAGGATAATCACATCCTAACTGAAAAAAAATTAGCACACAAAAAACTTTTAGTAGAAACGTTAAAAAAAAATTTTACAATGAGCAACATAAAAAGGGGATAAGGATGCATATGAATAATATCAATATTTTTAAAATATTGTTATTTTTTAGTTGGTAAGTACAGATAGAAAAAATAATAATTAATTTTACAAGAAAGTTGAGCTCGTTTATATTTTTATATAAGAATTATAATTAAAAATTAAAATTCTTTTTCATACTCTACTTTATGAATTTATATTTATCTAATATAAAAAAAATTTATAAAATTAAGAGCTTGTGCTTGATGTCGTCATTCTTTTTTTTTTTTAATGGTTTTTAGTTTGAATTGTATAATAAGAAGTAATAATCTCTTATCAATAAGTTCATCCCATTTTATTAGTATATTTGGATTGAGGGGAATGAAGGGGAGAAGAGAGAGGGAAAAACATTCCTTATTTAATTATCAAAAAATTTAGAGAGAAGGCAAGAATCCCCTCTACTTTTTTTTTTTTTTTAAATTTAGTTACTTATCCAAATAAGGGAATAAATGGAGAGGAAGGAAATGGAGGGAAATGGAAGGATATAATTCTCTCCCCTCCCTCCATTCCCATGAACCCAAACATGAGATATATGTTATACGATTTAAACTCAAAAAATTATATTTTCTTTAGAAGAAAATTACCACTAAATTGACAATTTTTAGTTTTTTATTTGAATTACCAATTCAACATTTAGACTCAAACTCAAATAATGTTGAATGAGAATTCATCTCATAAACGAACTAATATAATCCTTGTGAATTAATTATAGATGCTAATAAGTTCCTATATGATCATGTACATAAATATATTTATATAGAAATTGATAAAGACACCCACTAATTCAACACATTTATTAAAAAATTATTATTTTTTAATCTAAAATTAAAGACAAAAAACTTAAAGATATAGACATGTATAAAATATAGAGGAACTAGTTGAATCAACTACACTTGTATTATAATTTAATGATTGAATTAGTTAAATATTGATATGTATGTTGAATTGAAATGTATTTGAATCATTTTTCTATTTATATATCCCTCTTGGTTCATAAGAAAAATGAATTTTCTAAATATCCATCTCTATTCCCCTAGAGAGACATTAAGGTAGGATACAAGAATAATTATAGTTTTTGCTTAATTTAGGTGGTCTATATTTTCCTTTACCCTAGGCTTTTTTTTTTAGTGGTAGTTGTAGTATGGAGTTAGGTGATGGAATGATTATGGTGGTTTGGAGAATATATGGATCGAAGGGATTTTAGTAATGAAAAAATTAGTTACAATTGGTGATTTTATTTGTTTTAAACCCATCGCATAATCATTAAATATAATATTTGTTTCGAATAAAAATTTATCATAAATAATATTTAGTATTTGTGACTAACAAATTGTCATCACAATTACTTATTTTACAATAATGATTTTTATTATTATAAGTCTATATTGTATATATGACTGCTTTCAATGATAAAATATCTTTTTAGTTACAAATTTATTTTATTAATATTAAGTATGTGGGTATTGGTGACTAATATTTAATATCAATCACAATTATAATATGTTGTAGTGACAACTTTTATCATTAAAAACTTATATTCTCTCAATGATTATTTTTAGTGACAAAATATAATTTTAATAACAATTTATTTCGTCATTATAGAACATATGGGTTTCTATAATCAATATTTAAAATTTATCACAATTATGATGAGTTTGTAATGATAATTTTCATTGTCATAAGTCTATATTCTCTTTATGATTATTTTTAGTGACGAAATGTTTTTTTAGTGACTAATTTTTTTTATCATCATTGAACATATGCATATCTATAACTAATTTTTAAAATTTGTTACAATTGTATTGAATTATAGCAATAATTTCAAAATTCATCATAAATTTTTATCACTAAAAACTTTTTTTCTTATAGTAGCCCCATTACACTCCACCATTGCAAATGTTGTTGACAGTTGCTTCCTTGGTCATCGCCAACAAAATTTATTGAGATTTCAATGCGCCTAACACCAAACTTGGAAAAACTGATGACTTTAGTAACTGAACCAACCTACTGAAGTAATCATCGGTGCATTTGTTGGTAGCTCATATTATTGGGAAAAAAAATATCACTTGATCAAGTTTCACTCGCGGTTACAACTGAAACCGCTCGATGCCCAATCTTACGTGACAGCTATTGATTTTATTCATATAAGTAAAACACAAACAGATATTAAATTTGTAATAAAAAAGGTTAAATTGTCCCAAATATTAATTTAAGGGTTTATTTGTTTTTAAAAAATGTTAAGGGTTTTAATTTAAGGTAAGTTCAAGGGTTTTAATAGGATTTTGCCTTTAAATGTTGATATAGTGTGATTGAATTTCGTATAAACTAATAATTTTTTTGCTTTGAGAAGAGGAAAATAGATGAGAAAGGAGAGAAGGGGAGGAGATAACTTTTCTATTTGAATAAAAAAATTTTAGGGACGGGAGAAGAGGTGTTTTCTTTATTTTCATTTATAATTTTAACGGAATCAATGAGGGAAGTGGAGGTAGGATGTAAGCCATGAGAAATGGGAGGATATTCTCCCTGACCTCTTTAGTTCATCATATTTGGTAACTAACTATATTATGTCTTTTATTAACAGAGTTTTTTAATTTATATCTTGACAACACGTTTGGAATACAAGATTAAATAAGATTGGATAAAATAAAAACAATGAGATTGGATTGGATTTGATAAGATTAAACTATTTAATAATCTTGTCATATGTTTGGTGTGTGAGAGGATTAGATATAAAAATATATATTTATTGACAAGAATACCTTTATAGTGTAATTTAATTCTAATATTCTTATTTTTTTAATTTTTTTGGGAATTAAAAAATTTTTTTACTGTTGATAAAAGATACAATTAATAATTAATTTGCACTCATTTAAACAAAAATCTACATTATTTCTACTGAAATTACATGATTATTGTTGTTTTAAGAATGAAACACAGCATTGGACCCCATCCGCAGCGCATACTTGAGCGTGACGTGGGTGGCGAACGGGGTCAGCCCCTTCCACAGAGCTCGCACCCCCTCTGTTCTCGCTACCGGGGAGCCGCCAAATAATAAGGACAAGAAAAGCTGGAAGAACTTCCGGGAAAAGCTCTGGCTGAAGCGGGCTGGTGCTGCTTGGACGTCCTCTGTTCCTATCCCGACCTCGGATATCTCCATCCCAAATAACAGATCCCATCTCAACTGCCGAGGATCGGTCAATCGCAATGAAGATTCCGGCCCCCCACCTGCAGTTCACTCGCCGGAGCTCTACAAGGTTTGGCGTAACCTTGTCAGACCAGGACGACCAAGAGGATATCGGGATGCCGGGCGATCAAGAAGGAATTTCTTTACATATATGCTGAGAACGGCGAAAAAGGAAAAGAATTGAGAGGGAGATGGAGGGAGATGAGGGATGAGCTATGATCGGAGTTCGATGAATTATGAAAGCCGATGCACAACGCCGACAAAATAGAAAATCGTTGGGGAGATAAAAAGTCACCAGTGACTTGAAAGATGAGGAGTTAGGCCAAGGGTAAAATGAGAAAATTAAATTTTATCCCACCTAATCCCAAGGGGTAGGTGGTAGGGGTGGGCAAAACCGATTTTTGGTTAACATTAAAATCGATTTTAAAATAACCAAACTTTTTTTTCTTTAATTTTGAGAATCGAAACCGAATTAAAATTATTAAAACTGATCAGTTTGGTTATCAATAAAATTAATTTATTTTTTATTTTTGATAAATAAATAATAATTAATTATTTTTTAATAATATATTATATTCTATCATATATTTTATTATATTTTATCATATTTATCTTAATTTTGATTTTCAAAGGATTTATTTTCGGTTTTTGATTTTTGAAAGGCTCAACCAAAATCAAACTAAAATATATTCAATTAATATCAAAACCAAAAAAATAAAAATCAAAAACCATTAAAATCAAACCAAATTCATTTTTCAATTTAATTTTTAAGTAACCTATCGGTTCGGTCTAAAATACCCAACCCTAGTAGGTGGGATACATTTTACGTTATGCACTTGGGATTGGATAAAAGTATAGATAAAAATTATCTAATCTTTTGAGTTTTGACCCTCCCAAACGTTGGTTATGGACTTATGGTGGGACCGGACAAAAAATTTGTCCAATCCCACCATTTATCCAGCACTCCAAACGTGCTGTGAAGGTATAAGTTAAGAACATTAGGAGAATAAAAATTGATATTTAATTTATTAATTATTTAATTAAATTTATATACAAAGTAATGAAACTGAAATTTTTATCAATTTTTATATTTTCCTATATCAATTTATAACAAAAAAATGTTATTTACCTGTGTCTTAAAGCTAAGGGTAGATTAGAAAAACTTTTATCTTTGATTTAACAAAATAAAAAAGTTTTGTCTAATTTATTTCTTAAAGACACATTAGAAATGCATTGATTATAATTTTCTTCATTAATTTATATAAAAAAAAAAAAAAAAAAAAACCACAAAAACAAAAAAAACATACACAAAATTAAAAAAAAAGAGTTTTTTTTTTAAACATTTTGACATGAGGCGGGTTGGAAACCACCCAAAAGAGAAGGAAGTGCATCTGTTCAATGACTAATGCTATTGGACCTCTAGGATCAAATACAATTTTAAATGAATAGTTAATAAAAAAATTACATAAAAAATAGTTGATAAAATTAAAATTAATTTATATTTTTTTAAAATAATTTTCTTTTTGAACAAGCAAGTTTTTTTTGTAAATATTCCTAATATACTATTAGAGACAAGGAAAGTGATCTCTCAGGAAATCAAACATTAAATTTAGTGTGGTGTTTTCACTAAAATGTAAGTGATTAACTATTTGGCTTAGATGTGTGGAACTATTTTTTTTATAATAATTAATGAAAATAATATATGATTATTGTATTTTTAATTGGGATTAGTACTTGTCTACCTTATTTCTAAAAAATTGAGAGGAAAAAAAACAAAAATCACCTTAATACATGCTTTAAAAATAAGATAATTTAGTCTTTTTTAATAAAATTTATTGAAACGACATACTTTTAAGATGATTTTTCTCTTAATTTTTAAGAAGTAAGATTGATAGGTAATATTTTCTTTTTAATTTATATCTAAAAATAAATTATGTTAAAAAAAAACTTAAAAAATATGTACTTATTTTAAAAAAATGCAGGAAAAGGACAAAAGACGAGAGGGGTGTGTCATATGTGCGTCGCTTTTGCGTGATATAAGAAAATAAATTAAAAAGGTTGTCATTGGTTGGCAGAGTACCTGAAAAGCAGGGGCAAGCAGTTGACGAGGACGTCTCACACTCTCACTCACTCCCAGATTCGTATCGTACAACAAACGAATCGATTCGTACTCACACACACTGCAACCGACCCTGACGCCACGCTATTATATTGGCCGTGGTTATTGCGATAAAAAGCAATTATTACTAAGGTTATATAATAATAATAATTTGAAGAACGATAAGGAGGATGAAGATTTAAGATAAAAGTTTAAAATTAATGATATAATATTAATTATATTATTAAATTAATTAACATAAATAATATTATAGATTAAAAAGTAAAAAAAATAAATGATTTTTTTTTACATTGATTACAGAATAAGAAATAATTCTTTCACATCTTTTATCTTACCACATCTGTATGCTATGCAATTTAAATTTATGA